CTTTCTGGATTTAAGTTTTGTTTTTCTCTCATCATTGGAGGCAGATTGTTGGTGCTGGTTCTGGCAGAGAACTTGCACCAATTTCGGGCTTGGCGTTTGTCGCTTGCCTGACCCGTTTCCACAACTCTGTAAGGCTGGTCTGGTGCCCAAAAGTTTGGCACCATTCCAGCCATTTTTCCTGCTTTACTCTGTTGGCAGTTTCCTTGGCATCCACGACAGCTTCCCTCAACAGGGCCAGATTGTCGGGAGATCTTTGCCGTCGGAAGTTTTTTCTACACATATTAATCCTGTGGTTGACCTCTTTGATCTCGTCATTATAGTACCAGGCGTTTTTGTGAGTTCTGGACCATGGGCGAGTTTTGGGGATGGTTTGTGAGGCTGCCTGGTTTATGGCCTGGATTAGCCTTGCCTCTAGCACATCCACGTTTTCATTATTGTTATTGGGTTCATTGTCTTTCAGACATCGAGCCAAGCCTTCCTGGAAGGCAAACCAGTTGGCCTTGTCAGTTTTCCATTTAGGAATGTGATGTGGTCATTGGGCTGGACCTGCATCCATTAGTGTGGTGACTATGCCGTAGTGATCACTAGTAACCGTATCATCGACACATCACCGAATTCTCTCCACCATTGTTGCAGTGGCAAAGGTGAGGTCTAGGACCCCTCCCTTCACATGCGTTGGTTCTTTGGTGTTGAGAAGAGCGATCTCAGGGAACGTCTCAAGCACTTCTGCTATGTGAATGCCTGCCGCGTTCGGCCTTTTGCGGGGATTCAGCATGGCCATGTGTGCATTGAAGTCTCCCCCTATGATCACTCGGTCTTGTGCTGCAGTAGCATAGACCTGGTTTAGATCTAAGCTCTCACACAAGGGTTTGCTATAAATCTTATATATTTTTATAGGGCCCCCAGGTAGCTGAATCTCAACAGCAAGAGATTCAACACCATCTCCACACTGCAGCGGGCTGGCTATTAGGGAGCACAGGATAGCTTCTTTTACCAGGGTCATCAGGCCTCTAGCACCATCCAGGTTTGGAGTGGTGAAGGCATGATATCCTGAGAAGCACACGGATCCCATAGTTAGTGTCTCCTGGAGCATGACGACGTTAATACTCCTTCCTCGCACAATTGACTGGAAAAAGGAGTTCTTGCTTTTATAGCTACAGATATTCCACTGCAGTATGCTTAGATTGTGTGCCATGATGGTTACTCAGTGTCACTTGCTTCAGCTTCAGATGCCCCAGTGCTGGTGGCATCAGATAAATACAGATCCTCGTTGATTGAGGATTGTACAACTTCCTCTAAGTCAGACACTCCGGTTAAGGCTCTACCGAGAGGTGTAGGGCCTAGGTTGGAAGTGCCACCTCGGGTCAGGGGACGAGACAGACTCGGCCTGCTGCACAGTTTCAGCCTGTCCTGACAGACTAGCTGGGGTTTCATGTAATGTTTCTCTCGAAGCTAGCCTGCCATCCAAGGATTTAGGGAGGGGAGCGCTGCTCGTTATCGGTTTGGAGGCTTCTAGCTTCCTTCCCTTCAGAGCTGAAACAGTTTGGGTCATAGCCGTCATTGCGACCTGCACTGCTTTCTCCGCCTCCTCACTGGTCCTCCCCAAGGCTGTTGCTACTGCAGAAACTACAGCACTCAACAGGAGAGTCATATCTTTCTCGTCAAAAAAAAGATTATCATCTACTGGGGGGACCATTGCTGTGGACTTTGAACCTTTTTCCCTTTGGTTCTTTTTTGTGGTTTTGCCACTAGCAAGCTTGGGGAATTCCTCTCTGTTAGAGGTATCCAATTTTCGCTGTGGGGGCGACTCCTTCCTCTTAGGAAGTCGGGGAGTCTTTTCTTCTTGGTTTTGTTTTTTGTTTTTGCCCCAGACGTAGGTGCCTGGGGGCGCAGGGACAAAGTCAGGTCGCTTTTTGGCTAGCTCCTGCTTTTTAATCACTGCCTGTTTCCTGACAGAGCAAGCCAGGCTCCAGGCATGATGCTTTTTGGCACAGTTTGGACACTTGGCTGTTGTGTCCTTCTGGTCATCTTTGTGTGCTTTACACACTTGTTTCGTGTGCCTTGCTGCATACACCACATTTGGCTTTGGCCTTGCAGTTGGCCTGGTGATGCCCAAATTTCTGGCACGTGAAGCACCTCAAGGGCTCTGGCACATATGTCCTGAGCTTGTATGAGCCCCAGTTACCCAGATCAAGGTTGGTGATTGGGGCTCCCTTGAGGATAACCAGGACTTGCCTTATTGGAGACTTCCTTTTGGTCATGCGGGAAGCCTCCACCACTTGTGGGAGAGACGTGATCACCTCCACGTCGAAACCTAGTGGAAAGCCAAGTAGCACCATCTTGGACTTTTTCTCTTGGGAGGTCAGTGGTGAGATACACACCTTTCTCCCGTCTTTTAGCACCTTGATTTCCTGCAGGAAGTTCATGGTGGCTTTGTCTTTGGGGGCAATGATCATGCCCTCATCTCTGGAGATTCGGATTGATAGTCTTACGTTTCTTTCCTTCTCCAATGCCCTTACCAGCTGGTATGCATTGTCGAAGTCTTCAGGTTTTTTTGGTACCTTAAACCGCGTTAGTCGACTTGGGGTGTGCTCTGCCTCTTCTTCAGAGTCAGTTTCCACCCTTCGTCGTTTCACACCTCCCCTTTGCAGGGGTTTAAGGCCTTTAGAAGTGGGGGCAGCTGGTTTGGCTGGTTCAGCTGGAGTCCCTTCTTGACTGAGGGGAGTTCAGGTTTCCCTCAGTCTGGTGTACATGGACAGACTTTGTGTTTGGTGTTTCTGTCTTGTCCTTGCTCGGTTCAGCAGGCCGGACACGTTCGGCCTGCTTTTGTTTTTTCTTTCGCCCCCCTGCAGCCTTGAAAGGCCCCAGGGTGACTCCATGGTCTGATTCATTTTGTGGTCATTAGAGAGTTGGAAAACAGATTGGTCCCCTTTCGGGATTATCTTTATACCTACTCTCTGGGTGAAGGTCTTAAGAAGGGCCTAAAAAAAACTCTGATCCCTACACTCGACCCTTCAGCACCACAGGACAGGAGATCCCCCTGGGTGGGTGAACTCGAGTTTTGGTGTGGTAAACGCTCTGCACCCCAATCCTGCTACAAGGGGGGTGTGATCACGTCACCGCAGCCCAGGCGAATGTTGGAAATCGACGTTTCCCGCAGGCCCAGGCTGCACCAGGAAGTCAGAAGGAGAGGGCAAGAGTTAGGCACCGAAAAGTCGCCCTTGGTGCGTGGCCACAAACTATGTCCAGGACCAGAGGGTCCAGACCTGGTTTGTAACCTCGCTCTCCAAGGGAGCGGTTAGTGGGGCACTTACTACAAGAGAAGGCCTGGCAATTGTCGCAGCGCGAACCACGAAAATTGGCGGAGCTCTCTGTGTTGTCAAAGAGTATCAAAAATCAAGTTCAAGTCTGGTGGCTTTTGCTCTGAGGGATCACGCCAAGTGGGTGACAATAATGCCTCGCCAATTGGGTGATCTCTCTCTGTACACCACAGGGGAGAGGGCCTGTGAAGTGTGTGTAAGAGGCAAGGAGAGTAAGCGGTATAAGAAAGGAAAAGGAGAAGCACTCGGGAAACCACGGGGCTGGAGAGGAGGACGGAGAACGGAAGCGAAGGGAGGGTCAGTCAGATCGAAGGATCAGGCGGTCTATTGTGACGGTGACCGGTATAAGGAGGAGTCAAAGGGTGTTGGGAAGCGAGGAGGCTGTCGCAGAAGAGAAACCGCTGTTCAAGTTGAAATTGCGGCAGCAGCTTAATCAGAGAAAATTCCACCAGTCTTGGGCATGGACATCATGCGAAGGGAAGATAATGCGTGCTGCTTTCCAGTCCATCTGATGGCCAGTGTCCCACTGATGGCAGAAGAGGGCGTTGTTGCTATGTCCCCTGGATACAGCGTACTTATGCTGAGACAGACGCTTAGTAAGACGGCGCCTGTTTACCAAAAATACTGCTTATTTCACAGGAGGCCATACGGACAGCATAGGTGCCCACCACCTTCGAGGTAGAGGAGGGCAGGCGTGAACCAGGTCACGACGGAGAGTATTCACCTGGCGAAAAGGAGAGTCTGCAGTTGAGAGACTGCCAGGGCCGACGGAGGGAGTAGATCTCAGTGTAAGGCAAACTGAGAACAGGCAGGCGAGGAGACTCATTGAGAGGGGTCATGGTAGAAGGTACGCCAACCCTGGATAACGCGACGTCAAGGACATGGCGAGGAAAGTCCAGTTTGGAGAACGAACGACGAAGGAAGTCGATCTCTCCATCCAGATAACGGGGGTCACAGATTATTACTATTACTATTAGCATGATTATTATTATCATTGTCATCATCGACATCATTATTATATCGACATCATAATTACTGTTATTATATATATATATATATAAATTTTATATATATATATATATATATATATATATATATATATATATATATATATATATATATATGTATGTATGGTATGGTATATGTCTGTATGTACACACAATCATACGCAAGGTAACACACAACACATGCATATACACACACACACACCAGGTAAACACACATTCTCACACAAACAGGCCTTCCCGATATATATATTATATATATATATATATATATATATATATATATATATATATATTTATATATATATATATAAATATTATAATATATATATATATATATATATATGTATATATATATTTGTGTGTGTGTGTGTGTGTGTGTGTGTGTGTGTGTGTGTTGTGTGTGTGTGGGTGGGTGTGGGTGTGTGTGTGTGTGGTTGCGTGTGTGTACCAATAAAATATAAGGTAAATATAGATAGATAGATAAATGAGGATAGATAGATAGATAGAAGATAGATAGATAGATAGATAGATTAGAATAGATAGATAGATAGATAATAGATAGATAG